CTTTCAGCACCCATAGACTTCCTCCCTTTGCCAGGAGAATCCAATCCAGATCCAATGGACTCAAATTTCACAGTCAAGCGTGTAATGGTTGACACGGTGAAAGGATCTTTGATGAGACCACGTTTGGTTTGGTAACCACGAGGTGCAGCGGTGGCGCTTTCACTAAGGGAATACTAGAGTTTCGCAACTCCAATGCGCGTACTGACATTCATCGTAAATAAAAAATTATTAACACATGCAAACAAAACCTGTTTTATGTGGCTACGAAAAGTGAAAAAATTGTTTTTTTCTTAAACTGGCTATGTTTACTTATCCAATCAAATTTTGCGTCTATTATGAGACATCCTATACTTACTACTCAGCTTTGAGAACGTACACTCACACACTCCATTGTTTGCCTGTTCCAGATACGAACATTAGTCAACAACTACCTTGCCCGAATGATGTTCATGGAAGCACCTAATCGATCTAGAATTGTTGTGGAAGATGACGCAGAAAGCGTGAACTCCGACAGTCATTTGCTCAAACAAGACATTTTCAAAGTGAACGCACGTGATGAACTCGAGGAGATCAACGGGGTGCTTGACAGTAGATTTCAAAACCAGCTTAAAGTCGGTTGGAACATTGCGAACACAAATACTGTTTCGCCCAGTAAAACGGATCCCGCACAGTTTAGGAGACGTCAGTGGCGTGAGGCTAGCAATATGGGCAATGGGAAAACCTTCCCCGCCTACCAAGACAGACCTCCAAGTTTGGCACAACTACCACCGGAGCGTTCGTCACGAAGCCTTTTAGCAAACGTGTTGGACATTGAAGATGACTTTCGTGTGGCTGCCTTGTCCGCGTCCCCACCAGCATATCCCATGAATTCTAACATGGCCGGTGCCTCTCCCGTCCATCTAAATGAGAGAAACGTTCCAAAGACCGGTAAGATTGTCGGTGGTGGTAATATAGTACTTGTATTGGTGCAGTAGTATAACATTCGTTCGATTGCTTTCGATCAAGCTTTAGTACTCAGGTATATGTGTACCAAAAAGGATACCACGACGAGATGGAAATGTTTTCTTCCAAGACATTATAAAGTTACTTATGAATTTAACAACCTGAGTTCAGTATCATCTCTTCCAAAAATTTCAGAGTCATGAAAAATTGTGCACGTTCAATTTACATTTGATGAACCGTCACTCAAAAAGGTGTCTTTTCTTCGCCAGTTCGTCATCTTGTTGACAAAAGGTCCTTGTGACCGTACTCCAATGTACTTTTTTGCCGTGTGCTATAGTTTTTACCTGGCCGTGAGTAAAATTTAAAGAGCGTTCAGCTGTAGCACCCTTCCGGTGCCTAGCTGCCATGCCACCCGAGGGGAGCACGAGGGCTGGGATACTGCCAGGCTGCCCAAGCCTAGACAAGAGAAGTCGAGTGGTGGAGGTCGGATTCGAACCACGGACCTTCCGGTCAGTAAATTCGCGCTCTAATCACTTCGGCCAACTCTCTCCGATGAGAAAGATGACTACAAATTACGCGTTTTTCGAACCACGACCTTCCGGTCAGTAAATTCGCGCTCTAATCACTTCGGCCAACTCTCTCCGATGAGAAAGATGACTACAAATTACGCGTTTTCGAAATTTGGACTGTTCTCTCTTGAATTACGACGACATGAAAGCCTCATCTTTCCAGCATTGGACAAGCATTCAATCCCAGGAGCCATCCGTCAAATCAGTGCGATGTCACTTCACCAACCACTGCTGCGGTAAGCAGCAAGCCAACTCTCTGTTTTGAATGAGCGATACTCAGTTTCAATCGATTGCCGCTGACAGCAAAGATAAAATCAATGTCACAGACGAGAATCAACTACCCCCGTATAAGTAGTTTCGCTAACGCTCAAGTTTTGGGCCCTGCTTAGTTACTGAAGCAGAGGGTTCGTAAAAATTAAATCATGAATATATTGCCTTCAGGGTTTTTTAGACGGGTTGGGAACACTGATAATTGCAAAAACTGTCTGGTTCGGGAACTCCAGCTTACCGCAATCCACTCAAACAGCAATTTGGTAGACAAGAAATATCTTGTGAGTGATTAGAAAGAGAAAACTGAAATTTCCATGGCATCCGGACCATTGATGGTTAACTTCAAACTGACCGGTTATCAGCATGTGTTCCAATTGAAATTCAAATGGAAAATAAGACGGAGAGAAAAGGTTGAAGTTTTTTTAGGCGAGAACTGCGCCACTGATGACCGAGGTGGTAGGAATCGCCAAGTATCCCATTGTTAATGGAATAGAAGGCGCGGAACTGCGAGGCGTGTGGAGAACGATTTTGCATCAGGCGAGCTGACACGTGTTGGTGTGCGGCAAACGGAAGGAAGCGTAGTCATCATCCGATGTTCTGACTAATCTAGTAAATTAACCTGGAGATTTTCATACAGGAAACTACTCACGAGGCTGCTGAAAACTCTTCGACAGCCCACGACCGGTTTCGCTCTTCTGCTTTGGGCTCATTAGGTAGGCGCAAATTGATTTGCAAATGAGTGTATTTCTCGATAACCTGGAGATGTCTTGCAGATTGGTTATCCGTCTACCTTAACATCTGGCGAGCTTAGTGACCTGCTCACTTTTGTCTGAT